GCCACCTTGCTGAGGGCTGTGGTTTTCATGAGCCCCCTCACCTTCCAGATCCGCCGCCTGTCCCTCCGCATCCCGGCGGTGGTGGACCACTCGTACTGCGAGCACATGGCCGTGCTCAACGTGGCCTGCGGGAACACTGCCTTCAGCAGCACCTACAGCCTCTCTGTCTCCACCTGCGTGGTCAGCTTCGACTGGCTGCTCATCACCCTCTCGTACGCGCTCATCCTCCGAGCTGTGCTCAGCCTCTCCTCCCCACGAGCCCACAGAAAGGCCTTCAGCACCTGCGGCTCACACCTCTGCGTCATGGCACTCTTCTACATCCCTGGGCTGCTCTCCATGTACATGGAGAGGTACCACCAGGAGCTTCCACCTCACATGCGGGTCCTGTTGGCTGATGTCTACCTCCTCATCCCACCAGCGTTCAACCCTCTGATCTACGGCATCAGGACGAAGCAGATTTGTGACGGAGCACGCAGGGTGATCTCCCGGAGGAGACCCATGGCAGGAGAGATTGGTCCTGGCCTTCAGGGCACAGGGCTGGACTTATGAAGACAAAGTCCATTCCCTAGAATGGCCAAAACCTCTGCTGGACCTTGGTGTGGCTCTCAGTGTATGTTCAGAGACACAGGTGCCGCAGGAGACGCTGGTGCCCACTGAATTCAGGTCAGTACCAAAAGCTTCAGATGACTGTTCTCCTGCCTGTCCCTAGCACAAGGCGGTGACATTGGCACAGCACCCCTGGCTGGTCCAGCTCCCTCAGATCTCCCAACATAAATACAATTGCAGCCACCACCTGACCTAGTTCTGGTAAAACAACCTGGTGCAGCTGAACCACAGAAAATAGCTGTTTCCTTAACATGTCACTTTATGTGCAGAGGAACCATGCCAAGAGATGTAAGAGTCATGGGATTGCAGGGCCATGGGATGACTGAGACAGCAAGGGACCTCAGAAGGTCTCTGGTCCAATCTCCTGCTCAAGGCAGAGTCACCTATAAGGTCAGACCAGGTTGCTGAGAACATCTGCTCCCTCTCGGTGAAGGTCTGTCAGCCCTGGAGAGCACGTGCCGCATACAGTCACCACCATCCTGGATGCACAAACACAGCACACACTTTACCTGTCCCTCGCCAAAGTAAATCTCCTGAACCCCTCTCTGACCCTCCCCGGCCTCTGTTCCCCATCCCTACAGCGGGGCTGCACCAGAGCATCAATTCAGCGGCATCCAGCTGCCGTCTCCTTGATGACTTCTTCATGCTCTAACAGGTGAAGTCACCCCAGTGGAAGGGACAGTTGGTCCCTCTATGCAGGAGAAGTCCTGCAGAGGCCAGCACGGGCAGCCAAGGTGCCCTCCGGTCGCTGGGCATTGCTGCACCTCTGCCCTGTGCAGGGGCAAAGGGTTCTGCGTTGCTCCACCAGCCCTCTCCATGCACCATGGAGCTGCTTTTGGCCGGGATGAGATTAATCTCATTCGTAGCAGTTTGTGTGACGACATTCTGGATTTGTGATGAAAGCAGCTGTATTGGGTCTGGCCGAGAAGGAGTTAATTTTCCCCACAATGGCCCTCACAGTGCTGGTAGGTAGAAAGGAGTTGGTGACACATGGTGTTTTGGCTGCTGTTGAGCAGTGCTCCCACGGCATCAAGGTTGTCCATCCAACGCTCCGCTCCAACCCGGTGGCCAAGATCTTGGGAGGGGACACAGCCAGGCCGGCTGACAAAGGGATATTCCGTACCGTGTGACGTCTGCTCAGCGATGAAGGCTGAGAAAAAGGAGGAGGAGGTGGTGGAATTTATTATGACTTCTGTCTACCAGAGCAACCACTACGGATATTGAAGCCCAACTTCCCGGGAAGTGGCTGGACGTCGCCTGCTGATGGGAAATAGGGAATAAATCTTTTATTTTCCTTCACTTCCGCACGCAGCCTTTGCTTTTGCTGTATTAAACTGCCTTTATCTCCACCCACGAGTTGTTTGGGGTTTTTTTCCGTTTTCTACCCCTGCAACCTGCTGAGGAGGAAAGTGACGGAGCGGCTTGGTGGACACCTGGCACCCGGGCAAGGTCAGCCCACCGCAGCAGTGCTGGTAACACAGAGATGCCTTAGTTACTGCTGAGCAGTCCTTGCACAGCCTCAAGACCTTCTCTGCTCCTCACGTTATCCCACCAGCAAGCAGCCTTGGGGTGCACAGGGAGTTGGGAGGGGACACAGCTGGGACAGCTGACCAAAGGGATATCCCAGACCATATGACATCACACTCAGCAATGAAAACTGGGAGGGGGAGGTTCGCCATGACTGCCATTGCTCAGGGACCGGCTGGACATTGTTAGGTTGGTGGTAAGCAACTGGTTTTTTTTGCATCACTTGTTTTTCTTGGTTTTGGTTTTCCTTGTTGTTGGTTCTGGTTTTGGTTTTGTTTTTTTCTTTTTTATTATTAAACTGTCTTTACCTCAACCCACGAGTTTTTGCACTTTCCTGATTGGGGCGGTGGGAAATGAGCAAGCAGCTGCGTGGTGCTCAGCTGCCTACCGGGGTCAAACTACGACAACCATGAATGCCATCCTGCAGGGATCTGCAGCAAGAACTTGTCTGTTGGTTTGTGTGATTAAAGGTTCACCTCCATAAACCTAAAGGAGCAGAGGAACACGGCAAGCGGGTGAATCCCAGTATCCCCCTCGGAGCCAGCAGACCCCCAGCCTGACTGCTCCCCAGGCTGTCCCAGGAGGATGCTCAGTCCATGGCCAGGTGTGAGACCTCCAAGTTGGTCAATGACAGAGGATCTCACTCCTGCTAAACTGGCATGGTGTCTACTGGGTGGGGGGACAATCAGTATGGGATGCCAGGAAGAGCACTTTGGGACTGTGCAGCACTCACTATGGGATGTTTAGGGGAGGAACCAAAGGCTGGGAATGGGAGGGATCAGGGCGGATTGAGTGCAAACGAGCATGGGAAAACAGAGGGATAAGGGGATGAAAGGGTCTAGTCACATGTCAACATGGTCTTGGTCAACACGCCGTCCATGCCCTGTGCCTGGTCAGCGCAGTCCACCCTGTCCAACGGGGGCTCCTGTCTCCATTTTAACACCGCCCCTGGGTAAGAGTCCCCTGATCCGTGTGCACGTGTGAGCACGGAGGGCTGAGCACCAGCTACTGGAGTGGGGACCACAGACCACAGGGGCCCGGGGTGTTGTCCCAAAACCTGGGGTTCGCCCACCCGCCGTGCAACACGCCAATCCACGCGCAGAGTGGAGGTTTTTATTTTCTTTTGTTACATATATACGTACATGTGGGCGCCTGCTCCGAGACAACACACTGAAGTTCCAAATCAACAATTGCAACATTAACATATTTATTATTCTAATTATTTATTATTCTAATACATACACATTGTTATTCTGTTAAATGATTGGTTAATATTTCTTTGCCCAGGACGCAAATCGGAACGCGCGCTCAGTTTCCTACTTCTGTTGCTCTCCTTTGAGTAGGTGGCATCATTTGGGCAGGTGGTCAACGGGTCGGTGGTCGCGATCTCCCCCTGACGGAATGACCTTTCCTTCACCTGGGCAGTTCCAGGTTGTTCTGTCTGCTTTGCTGACCACACGTGGTATTTATCACCCAGGGAGACTTTGTGTGTGTCTCAAACAAATCACACTGTTTGGTACAAACCAGGTTGCCAGGTGGTCTGATGTTCACTTTTGTGTTCTGGGTAAATCATTAACTTGTTCTAAAGGATGGGGCTTTACAGATGTGGATTTAACAGCACTGGTTATTAAGAAAATTTTTAACTATTTTGATTTCAGTGTAACAAGATTGCCAGAAACTGGAGAAACTGGGGCGCACACACGTGGGCTGGGTACGTACATCAGTGTGCGATCACCAGCAAACATCAAGCAGGACCAGCTAGCACGAAGGCTGAGATTTGGGAGCCAGGTGTCAGCGAGGCTGTGAGTCTGGATGCTGTAGAGACCAGAGGGTTTGATTGCTACTGGAGGGACCAGAGGGTCCGAGCTACACAACTGCAGGGACCATGGGGTCGGCTACTAGTGATGCCATGGGACACAGCCAGATACTGGAGAGTCGTTCGCCTGTGTGTATGTGCATGAGGCAACTGGGGACACCAGGTACCCCGGGCCAGTTACTGGGTAGACTGAGCACCTAAGCACAGCTACAAGAGGGATCCGCATTGTATATATGGATATACAATGTCCTCTAAAAGCCTTCATCCTAACCAGCCAGGGAGGTGAACAGGATCATAGAATCATAGAATAATAGAATCATAGAATCATAGAATGGTTTGGGTCAGAAGGGACCTTCAAGATCATCCAGTTCCAACCCCCCTGCCATGGGCAGGGACACCCTCCACTACACCAGGTTTCCCAAAGCCCCATCCAACCTGGCCTTGAACACTGCCAGGGATGGGGCATCCACAGCTTCTCTGGGCAGCCTGTGCCAGTGCCTCACCACCCTAGGTGTAAAAAATTTCTTCCTTATATCTAACCTAAATCTCCCCTCTTTCAGTTTAAATCCATTGCCCCGTGTCCTGTCACTACACACCCTTGTCCAAAGCCCCTCTCCAGCTTTCCTGTAGCCCCTTTAGGCATTGGGAGGTGCTGAAAGATCACCCCGGAGCCTTCTCTTCTCCAGGCTGAACAGCCCCAACTCTCCCAGCCTGTCTCCAGAGCAGAGGTGCTCCAGCCCTCGCATCATCTTGGTGGCCTCCTCTGGCCCCGCTCCAGTAGCTCCATGTCCTTCTGCTGTTGGGGACTCCAGAGCTGAACACAGTATTCCAGGTGGGGTCTAGATGAGGCCATCGATGCTGTTTGTGTTTGCGTGTGTGTTTTCAGCCTGCGTTGACCTGTGTGGTTGACTGGTCTCTGCTTGCAAACAACCTGGGGCAGAGTCTGTGTTTGCACCCTGTGGTGCAGATCAGCAGCCAGGAATCTCCTGGGTGCAAGAGCAATAAACACGCTGACATGTATGACATGACAGCCCTCAAAGTGTGTGAGAAGTGGAGGGGACCTCCCTTGGGAAGAAACTCTTGCTTTGGGTGTATGGAAACTTCCTGATCTGCCATTGAGACATATGAGGGTGCTGAGGCACTGGCACGGTTTGCCCAGAGAAGCTGTGGCTGCCCCATCCCTGGAAGTGTTCCAGGCCAGGTTGGATGGGGCTTTGGGCAACCTGGTGTAGTGGAGGATGTCCCTGCCCATGGCAGGGGGGTTGGAACTGGATGGTCTGTGAGGTCCCTTCCAACCCAAACCATTCTATGATTCTGTGACCTGCTGCGAGATCCCACCTCCCTGCATGGATTCATGCACAAACTCCTTTCAGGGAAACATAAAAGTTTGCTGTAGTGGTTCTGAGTGGAGAGAAGAATAGAAATCCAGAGTTTCCAAACCATCTTACTCTCTCTGGCAAAACCAAAGGGATTTTTCTAAGCTTCAGATGGACTTCTTCATTTACATTTTGTGCATTGGTCTCATGGGCACGGGGTAGACTCTGGAGACCATCATGCCCCGGAGGCACCAACGGCATGATGCTATGAAGGAGAGCTAATGAAAGAAGCTGACGCAGTCTTGAAAATCTCCAGCTCCTCACAGGACAGACAACCTGATCTCCGTGTCCTTCATCTGCTGTCCCTCAGGAGATTTTCAGAGGATGGGTTAACACCCCAGCACTGCTGCACTCAGAGGTACGCAGACACTCGCTGCAGGTGACAGTCCTGCAGGTGAGACACATCCCTGTGCTCATCCTTTTTGGCAGACCGGGATCAGAAGCCTTTGCAAAGCTCTTCTGCGCTATGTTTTTCCACCTCCCAGGACAAGAAGCCCCTGTGATCAGGGTTCTTCAGTACTGCTGCAGTGCCGATCATAACATCGTGCCAGGCATGGGCTGTGGAAGAGAGTTTCTGGAAGCAAACATGCTCTTGCCTTGGATGCTGGCACTTGGGGATGCAGCTCTGGATGCAGACACACGTACGTGTCTGGAGGTAGGTGTCCACACAGGCTTGTGTGCATGAGCACTGAGTACAGCCAGTGGAGATCCAGCCCCTACGGTCAGTGGCTCCTGGAGAGCAACTCAGCTCACCCTAGGGCAGACCCCTATGTTTAGGGAGCCAGTTACTCTATAAGCTCCAGGCTCAAGCTCTCCTCTGACTGCAGCAGGGTCTCAGACCCCCAGTCTCATTCCACTGCCCCTTACTCGGATGTCTACAGCCACTTGAGATGCCCCCAGGAACCCACGGCATCCATGTGGGAGAGGCAGACCATCACCCAGGGCTTGCAGGGACCTTCACCCTGCCAGGCATAAAGGAAGGAGAGGCCATGGGACACACCGGAGGGGTCTCAGATGGCTCCAGGCCCCTATGTTCAGGTGGATGAACCATGCCCTGAGTCTTTGCAGGGGCACGCTCACGCGGATACTGGGATCCGGTGTGCTACGCCGGGGCTCGCACCATCCCGGGGTGCACAGCTCCGTTCTGCGGCAGGGGCCGGTCCCAAGGGCTGGTCCGTGTCACCGGCGGTACGTGGGTCTGCTCGGGAGTGTGGGTCAGCAGGAGCAGCCCCGGGATAACCTCACCGCTCAAATCTGGAGCCACTCCTGACTCCTGCAGCTGCTGGTTACCAGGATGCAGAGGGTCAGGACAGCACAGTCATTAAAAAGGAATTTTCATCCTGTCTCAGCTTCTGAAATGTCCCGATTCGCAGACATTTAGGCCAGAAGGTGAGTGCTTCTGCCCCAGCCCGTCTTTTCAGCCAGCATCTCCTGCAGCAGCCCCAAACCTGGGCTAAGCCATAGTCCAAACGGAGGGTTCCAAGCCCACAAAAGCCTCCTCTCTATTTTTGCTCTCTATTTCAGAACTTCAAGCGCTGAGTTTCCTTAGTGTCTCCCAAAATCTTTATTTCTATTCTGAACTTGTCCAGCTTCTCCTTCTCACTGCTGCCACACCGAGCATGTCTGATGTTAAATTTTACCCTAAACAATCCTGCACACAGGTGGATTTTACTCCGTGCTGTCACTAGCACGAGCCACGAGCCACCCCGCAGATTGCTGCTTGCTAAAAAGCTTCTGATGGACAACTGTCCAGGCTGAGCACCATTTCTTCTGGCAGGCAGCGATCTGGTGTGGTCACCACTCGCCTGGTCTTGGCAGCTGCGTGGGGAGAAGCAGCAGAAGCAGTAGAAAAGTCTTATAACAAGTGAATATGTAGATCCTGCCCACCGTACTCGGGCTCTTCTCATCTCTCCAGGATTGTCCTCTGGAATTTCTGTACTACCTTCAAGGTTGTCCCATCAGAATAAAACCTCAGAAATCAGTCTTGTCCTCTGACTACCACCTAGTTTTCCAGGCTTCTCTCACTGGTGAATGATAGAACGAAGACAGGGCAGCAAAAGGCATTCTCGTGATCACACTTAGTGTCCCAGAGCACTTTCTGAGACCACTTTTTACCTTACAAATTTGGGGGACCTTCCTACATCGAGCCCATGGCAGGGAAGCCAGGACTGCTCAGGCAGAAACACCAAGGGAAGCTGGATGTTGACCTTTTTCTCTCCTCTTGCAGCTTATTTCAAGACACCAGCTGAGTGGTGCTGAGCAACCAACAAAGAAATAAGCCTTCCTACAAGTAACAAACAGTAAATTCCCTTGGTTATCCCTGGTGGCACAACTTTGAAGATGAACTTCTTCACCTTATAGGAACTTTCAAGCCATGACAGCCCCGTTTATTCAACATTTCTGATCCATTCCCCTCTACCTGGTCATGTTATGCTGTAGCACTCCCATCTCACCCATGGTGATAACGATGTGGATTCCTGATTTGACTCCTGCACTGATGCAGAGTCCCCACCTTGTCCTCTTTAGTTCCGGACATCTCAGGGCTCAAAACCAGGCTCCTTTTTTTAAGCACAAAAGCAAGACTCTCCTGCATGGCTTCTGATCTCTTCAACTGCCGCAACAGCAGCTCCTCCTCTTTCATCCTTGTGGGTGTCCCCAGCCTGGAAGCTTTCCCCACGTGCCTGGGCATCCTTTTCTGCTCAGGCTATATCATCACCTTGGTAGGAAATGGTGTAGTTTTGCTTGTCATTGGGCTGGACAACTCCCTGCGTGACCCCAACCATTGCTTCCTGGGCATGCTGGCCATCATCGACGTGGTGATGGCAACATCCATCGTCCCCAAGATGCTGAGCGTGTTCTGGCTGAACTCTGCGGAGATTGGTTACATGGCCTGCTTTGTTCAGATGTTCCTTGTTCACTCCACAACATCAGAAGAGTCGGGAGTGCTCCTGGCCATGGCTGTTGACCGCTACATTGCAATTTGTCACCCCCTCAGGTACCGAGCCATCCTGAATCGCCAAACAATTGCCCAAATAGGCCTGGCCATTGTGGTGAGAGCTCTCCTTTTCATGGTCCCCTTGACAGGGATGGTGACAAACCTCCCCTGTTGCCGTTCCCGTGTGGTTCCCCACTCGTACTGCGAGCACATGGCCGTGGCGAAGCTGGCGTGCGCGGACCCCAGACCCAGCAGGCTTTACAGCGTGGC